CTACAATATGCAAGCTGGCGGCATAGAAACCGTGTCCAAATAATCATCTATTATAGTGACACTCTCACTTTGGATCCCCACAAAATCTTGCCCACGATTATTTGACTTTGGGCAAGGATGGCCTTCAATTCGTTGGATACATAAATCTTAATCATTAAAAGTCTCTTGAATTTGATTCCATTGCATCTACACTTCTTACATAAATGTCTAGGCAAAAGTCTTGTTAAAAATCTTCCATGAATGTGTCTATTGCATGGTAGATCTGAAGAGATTAACACGAATGGCTCAATCAAGATTCAAGTTGAAATAATATTCATAAATGTTGGGATTGAAAAATTAGGTCATGAAGAAAGATTGACAGGCACAAAAGTTAAACCAAGAAGCCACAAAATGTGGTCCAAATGAGAAGTATAGTTCGAATGAGTCTCAAGAAATTCTAGTAGAAAAAATTGAATTTTTTGGGAATGGGAAAATTTGTCTATTGATCGGGAGAAAATTTTGTAGTATTGGCTATTTGATTCAGGTGCTTCCTTTCATATTACGCCACATGCAGATTGGTTCTACAAATATGATTCATGTGAGGAAGGTATAGTTTACATGATAAATAATAACTCATGTAAAATAATGGGAGTTAGAGAAGTAAGAATCATGATGTTCAATGAATGACATGCACAATCCCTAGTGTCAAACATGTTCTAAGTATCAGAAGGATCATCATTGGAAAATTTGATGACAACGATTTCAAGTTTACATGTGGGAATTAATGTTTGAAAATTTCAAAGGGAGCACCCATGGTTGAAAAAAACGGCTTGATAGGCAATTTATATAGACTTGTTGGAGAAATAATTTTGGTAGAGACAATGACATTACATAAGTGGATTCAGTCATGACATCACATGCATGTTTGTGCAACATGAGCAATCATGTACTTAAATTATTATTCGATAAAGATCTTCTCCCTGGTTTAAAATATCATAATTTAGATTTTTATGAGTTTTTTTTTTATATGAAAAACAAAACAAATTACCTTTTGCTTTGTCTACCATAAAAGTAAAGATTTTTTTGGAGTTGATTCACTTAGGTACTTGAGAATCATTTGTTGGTTCAATATGAGATGCTCATCATTTGTCACTTCTTATTTACAACCAAAAGTGGGGATTTGCTAGAAACTCTTTCTGATTTGTTCTTTAAACCACATAATTAAGTTTTAATAGAGAGTGTGGGGTCCGTTGAATTACTACTCAAAGACATTTCTTGATTTCGAAAGATCAACCCTATTTGAGAACAGTTGGAAATGATGGCTTGCAATCACTCAAAACCAAAGAAAGAGACCAAGAAAATCGGAAAAGAAAATAAAACAAATAAAAAAATTGAAAATTAACTAAAATTTAAACTAAAGAAAGAAGAAAGAAACTTAACTGGAAAAGCTAGAGTTGGGTTTCTATGAAGACCACCGGTTGATCTACACCTTTTGTGCCTTTTATTTCCCTTAAAAAAAGTTTTCTTTGGATTGAAGATTTGTAGAAAGTTTTGGTATAGATTGGGCTTAGGGTTTCTAGCCTAGTTTTTTTAAGGGTTTCTTAGCCTAGGGGAATTTTTTGGGAATTTTTCTAGGATTTTTTTAGAATATCAGGTTCTCTAATTTTTAAGGGATTTTTCTCGGGTTTTTGGTTATTTTTCTAATATTTTTCTTGGGATTTTGAGTTTATTTTCGAAGATTTTCCTTTGGATAAATTATGATATTTTGATGGCTAGAGGGGTTTATACATGCTATAGAATTGGGAATTTTTTTAGGAATATTCCTTTTAGCATTAGGATTTCAAGGTTTAATAGGGTTTGACTAATCAAATTCCTGATTAAAATCCATTAAAAATCTGTCTAGATCTGATCCAAAATTACCTTAGAAACCTCTGAAATCTTTCAATTTTTAAACCATTTTTGCGGCTTAAAAGGTTTTAGCATCATTGATTGTGCCACTAGGGCCCCGCATCGCGGACCCAAGTATACTCTTGGCTCTTTTTGGATATGCCGATAAGTTCAGTTGGGGTGGTCTGGTTTAGTTCTTATGTGTTTTTAGGATTAAAATGGTAGTTTTCTAGAGTTCTAATACTGACTTTGTAATTCTAACCAGATTCGGTAGCTCTGATGATTTTTTGGGACTATGGACTAAGTTAGTGCAATCCTTAGGATTGAGTGTCACAGATTTTAGGAATTCCCTCAGGGGGGGGGGGGGGGTGCGGGGGTGTCTACATTTTTATTGATGGATTTTGAAGAAAAATGTGTATTTACATACTGAAAAAGAAATTCTGTCTCTAGTTGTTTTAGTTTTAAAAAGTTTAAGACATAGGTAGAAAATAATGAAAACAGGGGCATCAACTGTCTAATAACTAATAGAATTATGTTATGATAAAGTTAACATTTTTTTTTTTTAATTGAGCATGGTATTTTTTTCGTAGTTGATAGTTACCTGAGACACTTTAGCAGAATGGTGTTGCTAAGAGGATGAATTTTACCAATATGGAGCATATTAAGTGTATGTTGAGAAAGACTCAGTTAGAGAAATGTTTGTAGGCAAAAACAATTCATACAATGTTTCCTAATTAACAAGTTGTGTAAGATTGTTCTTGACTGCAAAACACCAAAAGTGGTTTGGATAGGTAAACCAATTAATCATTCTTTCATTCTTACATTTCAAACCAAGGTTAAAAAACTTGGCTTAAGCTCGGAACTCGGACGCTCTGCTTGAGCAAAGTAATTCAGGTGAGTCCAAATGGAGTCGCCCCAATCTTGTACAAGTCCAAAAGCACTCAAACATCACCAAAAGGAATACAAAAGTTCAAAAAGAAGAAAAATCAGTAAAAAAAAAAAAAAGTCATAAACATCATTAGAAGGGACATCAAGAAGATGGATTATTAAAAAATTGATTTATAGCTTGAAACAATTTAAAAATTCCTTTTAAGGAAGAAGTACAAAATTACGGTATAATATAAGAAAAAATCACAAATCATCATAAAAAAGCAAAAACTATATAAAAACATATTTCTAATAATTTGTTAGTGCTTTAGTAACAAAATTTTTATTTTTAAGTGAATTACGAAACCCGAGTTTGTCTTAGGAACTTTGTGGAGTAAGACGGATGCCACAATAGCGGAGCAATCCGCATCACAATTAGTGTAATAATATCACACTAGCCCAAGACTCACAACCAAAAGATAAAAGGAGAACAATTAAGATGAGGTGAAAGAAAAACTTCCATTCAAAGATGAACAATGGGGTACATAAAGGCATTACAAACTTGACACTTAAGATAACCTTGATACATGTAACCCAATTTTCTCACTGCATACCTCTCTTTAAATAGAAGTTCGTACAACCATATTTATTGCAATAAACTACCCACTTGCAACAATAATTATTAACCACCTAATAGTTTCTTAACTTCATATTATACAAACATACAAGTACAACATCACTACATCCCTCATAATAAAATAAAACAAAATAAAATAAAAACTAATATAATTTCTAAAAAATACACATTAAAATTTTTACAAACTTCACTCGGCGAGTTGCAGAGGCCAAGTTACTTGGCTTCCAAGTTGATTCAGTAGAGTCCTTTTGAAACACTGCTTCAAACATTTGTATGCCTTTCAAAATCAGGTCTCAAGAAGAAGCCAACCACCTCACATTCTTGTGCTTTTTGAGAAACAGATGTGTTCAACAACTTCACTAACAGACATGGTAGTTTCAAGGACACTCTAAAATTGCAAGGCTTCGAAGGGATCTTGAGCCTGTACGAAGCCTCACACCTTGCTCTCCAAGGAGAAGACATATTGGATGAAGCCAAGGCCTTTGCCATACAGTACTTAGAGTCTGTCATGGCTCAAAACATGAATACAGGCCTCCGGGAGTGAATAAGGTATGCCTTGGAGCTTCCCTTGCACAGAAGGATGGTGGGGATGGTGGCTATGCACTGCATAGATGAGTCTGAGAGGGGTGATGCGACGACCCATCCAACTATACTTGAATTGGCTAAGCTGAACTTCAACATGGTGCAATCCCAACATAAGAGAGATCTTAAGGAGGTCACAAGGTGCAACTTTTTCCTTTCTTTTTGTATCTCTTTCTTCTTTATTAAGTGGGAGCTGCTGGGCTGATCTTGCCCGACCACCATCAACAAATGCATCCACACCCACACACACACACACAAAAAAAAGAAATTAGTCATTGTTCCCGATGATGTGCATAAATTTGTTTGGGTTTAATCTCTATGATTCACAATTAAGAGCAAATATAGATGTCATGGTGTATCCTATACCATCCATGACTACTGTGCAATACACTTTTCCATTGATTATCTTTCTTATTCCTAGAATTACCACAAGTATGGTTATGAAGGTAATTTCTAGTCTCTTAATCTAAAGGTGGTGGAATAACCTTGGCCTTGTTGATAAGCTAACTTTCGCCCGTGATCGGCTGGTGGAATGTTTCATAATTGCATCGGTGATTGGTTATGAACTTGAATTTTCAAGGTGTAGGAAGGAGATCACAAAGGTTTACACTCTTTTGACAGTGATAGATGATGTATATGATGTGTATGGATCACTGGATGAACTCGAGCTCTTTACTAAGGCAGTGGACAGGTTTGATCCCAACTAAACTTCACTTTAAAGTGAGGCATTTTCCATGAGCAAATGCCTCTCTATGCATGCCTTTTTTTGGTTCATTTCCTTCTTTTTTTTAGGGAGATCATTACCCATTCAACATGAAGTCTACAGTTAGGGCTATTAATGGACCGGGCCGACCAGGCCCTATGTAATGTAAAGCCGGGCCTGGGTCCAGGCCCGAAAAGTTAAAATTGGGGCCCCAGCCCATACCCAAAAATTGGGGCTAGCTCTTCTATAAATGTAGGAAAAGTTTTATTTTAATGGCGTCAGAAAACTTTTGTGCTGGGCCCGGTCCAGGTGGGGGGTTATCCCAGGCCCGGGCCTTTCAATTCCTACAGACCTAGAACGGACCCATCCAGAAGCCCTGGGGCCAGCTTGGCACTTTAACTCCCCTAAGTACAGTGGCTGATGTCTTCAATGTTTTGATTATCTCAAGAAAATATGAATTTTTTTAAAATGATATTGTCCTTAATTTCATAATTAATTTACTCTTTGCTTTTACTTTGTTTCTTGAGTTAATTTTAAATAATTTCTTCATAAATAAATGTAAATACAAGCAGGACAAAGTAAGCGACTCCCAACTTCATAAAAGATACATGCTGAGTAATATGCAAATATTTAAGTTCATAAGAAATTTCGAAGAAGTGGAGAAAATCAAATCTTCCTTCATTTATATATATTTTTTAATTATTCTATGGCAATCTTTTATCATTTTTCTTATCAAATAGTTTTACGTCAAAAATGACATATAACACTATCCTTCTCAATAGTATATCAAATATTTTAAAATTACAACTCTTAAGAATTCAAAGCACTCTTCCACTTATACAAACACTTAACAAATGTGTGCAGCTAATACATCAACCGTAGTGAAGTCAAAGATACAAAGAACATGCCTGGGATCAACCCTTCGAGACTTAACCACACCCACAAAGGATCTCCACAACCGATAGCGCAATGAAAGAAAACACCAAAATTTTAAAAGTTTCCAAAGAAGCTGTCTCAGAAAAAGGATCCCTTCAAGGAGAATTCCCTTTTACATTGTAAATTTCTAGTTTTTAACATGGACTCTATGTTACCTGCTCCTCAAAAATAGGTGGCAAACACATTATGAATAGCAATTGTTATTGGTGGTCTGCATCTTGCGTGGAGAGATGATCTTCTATTTCATGGAGCGATCGATTCTTCGATATTCAGTAGCTCTGAGAATAAAGGAAGCTTACAGTTGGAATCTAACATGGGTTATAATGCTATCTTTAGATGGGACCTGAAGGCCATGGATACACTTCCAGAGTACATGAAGATTTGTTACTTAGCCCTATACAATACTGCTAAGCAGATGGCATATGATACCCTAAAGGAAACTGGCTGGACATTAAAAATTATCTTCGACATGTAGTATGTATCCAATATCCATTGTTTAAAAAGCTATTTGCACTATTTCATATCTCATTCCTTAACCACATTATGCATTATGTTTATATTAGTGGGGAGGCCTATGCAAGGCTTACTTGCAGGAAGCAGAGTGGTTTCACACTGGACATAGACCAACACTAGAACAATACCTAAGAAATGGATGGACATCAATATCAGGCCCTGTTGTTTTGTTTCATGCTTATTTTTTCATAGTGAAGGAGTTCAAGATAGAGGCTGTAAATTGTTTGGAGAATGAATCAAGCATTGTTTACTGGTCTTCCATGATCCAAAGACTTTGCAATGATATGGGAACTAGTAAGGTATGTACTTCTCTCCAGTTTTAATTGGAAAAGTAAGGATAAATGTGGTTTTCATATGTAAACACTTCCCACAGTGTTAGATGTGATCTTAGTTTGGTCCTCCAGCAGGAGGACCGAAATAGTGTCATCCGATGTCATTGCCAGTCATTTTGGCCGGAACTTGGTTTGATCTCTGATGAGCCTGTCGGCCGTTGACGGAAGGACCTTTTCGCAACCTAGGCGATCACTTGATGCCAAAGACCTCATTGGAGAACACACTGCGAACCTTCATTTTAATATTTAAAATTGTTCATCATCGACCAAATGGATGAAATTAGGCAGGAGGGCAATGTTTCTTTCTATCCTCCTACAGGAGGACTTAATAGTTGTCCCTTACATCATAATAAAATAAACATGCAAGGACTTGGTCCTCACAACCATTTTATGCAAGGACTTGGTCCTCACAACCATTTTATTGTGTACAATGGGGCCATTTGCTTTTGATACAAGGAAGTAACAATTATTTTTACTCTTATATTTGAAATTGGGTGGTTGAGAATGTGTCATTGTTTGAGCACAAAGTCCAAAATAAAATTTCTCCAATGTTGTGACATACTTTCATCTATTGGATTTTACATCAAATGGTTAAAAGTGATTGTGTTCATGATCTCATAGTACACAATCCCTTTTCATAATACGGGAGGATTGATAGTTGGACACGGTTTCTATGAGTCCATGTAGAAATGAGTCCCCTCTTAAAAATCTATTTTTGAGGCGGATTTTTTGATCTAATTTTTAAGGACATGTAATCTCTAACACGAAAATCATAAATATAGACAAACAAATAAATTTAAAAAAATTTAAATAATAATTCTATTAAGAAAACATTTGAATTGTTAGTTTTAATTGTTTTTAGATGGACCACCTATTTGCATCCATCTTTAAGACGGATGCTTTATACCTCATGGACCACAAAGGTGGATATGCGGTCCCCGTCGCATGAAACATTTTTCCTTATGGGGTTGTTTGGATACCTGAAAATATATTGTCTACGAAATATATTACTGTTTTAATACATTACTGACGTTATACATTACCTGCAAACGGATTATTACTGTTTGGGTAGTATCTAAATATAACCTGGGAAATACATTGCTACTCGCCCTTACTCTTTCTCTGGCTACCCCTCTCACTCTCCCTCTACCACCTCTCTCTCTAACTCGCTCTCCACCCACCCTCTATCTCTATTTCTCTCTTTACTTGGGTCATTATATCCCAAACCTCCCACTTCTCACTGAACTAGGCTAAATCCATCCCCAAACTAGGTCATTATATCCTAAACCCCACTGAACTAGGCTCGATCTATTCCCAAACCACCCCTCCCCTCAAATCCCAGAAACTCACGTACCCATTGTGACCAAACGAACGCACCAGAGACTGATATACCCATCAAATCCCCAAATTCCTTCAAAACCTTTAGCTTCATGGCCGCCATGACCTTTGTAGAGCTCCCCCTTGATATACCCATCAAAGCCCCAAATTCCTTCAAAAATGAATGATCTCTACAAAAACTTCTATACAAATGAAGCCATATGCGCAACAGCCCAAAATGGGTTTCCTACGAAAACAATGATCTAGACGATGGCTTCTGTGAGATGAATATCTAGAGAGAGAAATAAAAATATGAAAGGAAAATAGATGAAACAGAAGAAAGGCCTCTCCGTATTTGCAATGTATCACTAGACCAGCGGTGCTACCCATGGTTTCTTTTAATTTATTACAAGTATAAAACCAAGAACAAACTCTCTCTCTTTCCCTTAACTCTCTCTAACTTCTTTCTCTCTCTAACCTCTCTCTCCCTCTATCTCTCTAATGATACTAAATTGGTTGTAAAGCAAGGAGACTGGATTGTTTGCTTTTGATTCCACTTTAGATGCATTGGTTCTAGCATTTTCTGCTTATTTATACTGTGAGATATGGGAGAATGATTTTTATTGTAGAGACGAAGAATGATTTTTATTGGAGAGAGGAGAAAAGCTTTAGAGAGAGAAAGGAGTAAGGGCCTATTAGGAACGGTGATATTCTCTGGTAGGTTTTGAGTCGAGCATGAGGGAGATAAGTGATGTGCGCAGGAGAGGTGGGAGATACAAGACTTTTTTTTTGGCAAGGGACGGGCGTAGTTAGATTACCCATTAAGCACGAAATGGATTTCACAACTATCCTGGGCTTAATAGATTTTACGTATTTTGAGAAAATCTTATGTGATTTATTTCTATTTTCTTACGGTTAAAGTTTACCCAAACATGGTAAATCTCATATTTCCTTGTAATATGTTTTTCTGTAATAGATTTCTAGGTATCCAAACGGGCCCTTATAGTTTTCCCTTGTATAATATACATATAAGGACTGTGATCCTTATAACCATTTTATATTTTTCACAATTGTAATATAAAGGAGCAAACTTTGTTGGATATGGCGATATCCAAAATTATTTCCCTAATGAAGTTCCATATTAAGATATATATATATATATATATATATATATGACATCTATGAGATTTCTACGTAGTACGGGATTCATAATCTTATATAGATAGAATGAGGGAGAAAAGATATGTGTACTCTGTTTGGGGTTACCGTATGAGAAACTGGCTTCCTTTAGAGAGAGAGGCAGAGTGTGTTGGGTCACTATATAGGAAAGGTGGCTCCCTCTAGAGAGAGGTATGATCTCCTTCTAGAGAGAGGTATGATCTCCTGTGCATGAGAGGAATGGCCTTCACATAGAGAAAATTGAGCTTCCTATAGAGAGAAAAGATTGCGTTGTTATCTTCTACAAAGTGATAGGCAGTTTTCTTCTAGAGAAAAAGTTCCCATAGAGATTTTGAATGCTTTCCCTTTTTAGTGAGAAAAAGTCTTGGTTGCTCTCGAAGTTTTTTTTCTTTAACAACAGTTAGCTATAAAAGAGAAATTGGGAGATCGACATGTGATGTCCGTCGGGAGAGTTAGTTTAAAAGGGTTGCTTGACTAAGTTGTGCAGAGGTAGAGAAGTAACTTTGTGTCCTAAAATCTTTGACATAACTCTTTTTTGTATAGTTGATTTCAGTTTGCCATGATGGTGGATATAACCCTTTAGGGTAAACCACCTAAATCTTTATGTTGTGTTTTTATGCTTTATTTCTTTTGCTCATTTTATGGTTTGCACTCATCTATTTTGCTTGTAGTTGGTTAAGTATATGATACTGATGGACTCCAACTTTCGGGGTTCTTGATTTAAAAGAGTTTTTAAATCCTAATAGGGCTCTCCAAATGCTGGCTAACCAAATATGTACTAGAGAGAGAGAGAGAGAGATATGTGGGTGCATGTTCATACTCACGATATGATAGTATGTTTACATCCAACTACTGGTTATGTTTATCCATTTTCATAGCACAACATTGTGAGAACCAAAATCTATTTTCTTGTTACTCGAAGGTCCTCTTATCTATTTTTGCTGATTCATAGATACTATCTGAACATTTCTCACATTAACATCAAGAGATAGAAGAAATATGAACATCTTTAGCATTGCTTAATATGCTTTGCCTATTTTATGTACATTCTTAGCAATGATGAGTGTTATTAAAGTCCTCTCAGAACATACTTTATTTCAAACTTTTGAGTTTCATCTCCACTTGAAACTATTGTTGATAGTATAGAATTTCTCCATGGTTTTCATTTTTGTTTTCTACTAAGGGAAAGGTTTTTACAATTCTCCTACTGTATAGAAGATACATACTTCCTCCCTCATCTAGCTATCCAATTTAGATCAAGTGAGCCATTGGCCGTTTGATCTTAGATCATATGCCGCATAGCTTTTTTTTTTTTTTTAATTTTTTTCTACAAATTATATGGATTTATAAGTGCTATCATCTCAATGGGACACACTTAAAACAAGCACTAAAAAATATATTTGATAAAATAAAATAACCTAAATACCCATGAAACTTTCAGGGGCATTTTGGTTATTTTATTTTATTGGGAATATTTGTTTTATATTTTTTACAGGTACGCGTTTAATATTTTGGTGTCAAAATGTTTTGTAAGAAACAAATTAAAAATAAAATAGTGTAGATGTGTGATTTGTGATTGAGGCCATCTCAACCATCCATTCAGAATGGATGGATGGATAGGAAGAAGTATATAAGTTGTATATAGTAGGGGAAGTTGAGAAAGCTTGCCCTTCTACTAGTACTAGTATTATATTGATGATGTTTAAAGGATAAACTGCAAGAAGGAGATGTGCTGAAATCCATACAGTGTCTTATGCAGGAAAGTGGTGCATCAGATGAACAAGCAAGAGATCAAATAAAAGAGCTTCTCACTTTATCTTGGAAGAATCTCTATAAAAAGTGTTTTAAACTATCTCATCTTCCAAAGACTTTCATCAATGCTGCTACCAACATTACACGATGTTATCAGTTCATGTATCAACATGGAGATGGTTTTGGTGCTGCGAATTCACGCCATATCGAAGCTGTCAAATCACTGCTTATCAATCCCATTCCCATTCATAAAATGTAAGTCTTAATTGACTTTGTAACCCAAATAAATTTGTGATCCAAGCTGTTGATTTTCACCTAAAAGAAATTGTAAGACTTTCTCCTTGAAGTTGAACTGGTACATTGGAAAGAGGTTAAAATACCTTAGGCAGAAGATAGTTAAAGTTCAAGATTAGACAGAAGATAGTTAAAGACAAGGCCTAGTCCAACAGGCAAAAGGCCTCGTTCTATAGTGGTAGCAAATTATTATTTTTTAGGGATTGTTTACAAAGAGACCGTTTATCTTTATAATGAGAAGGTCACAACTATTCTCATTCATTAGATGTCAAATTAGATGGCCTGGGATAAGTCACAAAATTCGAGAATTAGTTTTTGGAACTTTGTGTCTATGTAGTGACACTCTTACAACTACCCATTTTGAAGTTTAGAAGACAAGAATGATTGTAATCTCATTGTACAAAAAGTAAATAGTCTTTTTATAGACAATCCCTTTTCTTTTACACAACTTTTTGTTTATGTATGCTTGTGGAAAATGGAATATGATCCACGAATCATAGAATTATATGGTCATGAGTGTCACTTGGATGGTGATGGAGGATTAGTACATACCACCAATTAATACTTCATTTCTAGGTCCCTCTGAACTTTTATCACCAGTCAACTCCATAGACTGGACC